CTGTGTGATTTGTTGTGTACTTTGAGTTTATCAGTGCTGTGATAAACACAGTGTTTGTGCTGCCAGGGAGCAGGTTATGCCCCTCTTACTCATCTTCAGCTGCCCTTTCTCCCCACATTGCCCTCCTGTGGATTTTAATGGCCCAGAGCAGTGCTTGGCGTGAGTGAGGGGGCAGTGCCTGATCCTGGGATAAAGACTGAGTGAAAACTGGGTTAGGGAATTGTCCAAAATTTCATCTGTAATTACAGCCTGCACAAAATCAAAGAGTATTTTTTTAAAGAGCAGCAATTCTGGGAGCAGCATTCCTCTGCATATTTTTAAGCATGTATTTGCTGTTAATTTACATTGTTCTATGGTCCTGGTGGGGAAGATGTTCAGGGCTCTTGCAGACTTTGGTTTCTGGAGGGTCTTAATAAATTTAACAGAAATGGAGCCCCTGGCAAGGATTTCCTGCAGTAACACTCCAGTATTCCCCATCAGGTTTATTAGGCGAGATCACACTGGGCCCTTTCAGTCCTGAAAGGGGGCTTAGAAAAATTCAGAGTGACTTTTGACACAGGCAGACAGTGATAGGGAGAATGGTTCCAAACCAAAAGAGGAGAAATTCAGATTAGATATTAATAAATTCCTCCCTGTGAGGGTGGGCAGGTCCTGGCACAGGGAAGCTGTGGCTGCCCCTGGGTCCCTGCAGTGCCCAAGGCCAGGCTGGACACTGGGGCTGGGAGCACCTGGGACAGTGGAAGGTGGCAGGATTGAGACAGGATGAACTTTAAGGTCCTTTCCTGCAAAACCACTCTGGGGTGCTGGGATCAGCTGGTAGCTGGTCTGCATGTTTGCAAGTACTTGACTGGAATTGTCCTTCTGCCTTGGGAAGTGCAGTGCGGAGGAGCTGGCTGTGTTTTGTGAAGGAGACACCTCTGTTGCTCCCCTGGAGCCACCAGGAGGAGTGGAGAAGGCTTTTCTGGGAGCAGGATGAGGATTGCACTGGGGGTGGCTGTGTCTGCAGCCTGCCAGCCAGCAGGGCTGGGGGCAGCACAGCTTTATCCTCCTCAGCTGAGATTTCAGACCTTTTCCCCTGCAGCTGACAGGGCTGGCACTCCTTGGGTGGGTGAGATCAGCTGTGGCCCAGGGCAGTCAGCTCCTCTTTGTCCTGGTGCCACAGGAGCTCGGCTGGGCTGGAGCTGAGATGGCAGAGCAGGTTCTGCTCCCCCAGCAGCAGCCAGGGTGGTTGGGATGATGGGCTTGGGTCACCTGGTCTTTACCTGGGCTTATGCACATTCCACCTGATGGGTTTGTGTGGCAATTTCAGGTGGCTGATGCTTTGCCCAAGTAACAGCCCCTGGTATTTTGTGTGTCCTTGTCCCCGTCCAAGCCTTTGGAGCATGGAGCAGGACAGGGGAAAGGTTAAACCATCAACAGCAAGAGCCTTGAGAGGAGCCCTTGTGGTTCTGTTCACACATGGGGACATCTTTGGGGTTCATTTTCCTTTTGGTGCATTTATTCATCCTTCTTCCCTCCTCCTCCTCTTTCATCACTTCTTCCCCCACAAATATCTGAAGCCTAAAATAATGTTCTTGCCTTTTGTCTGCCAATAGTGTGACACCAAGTAGTTCCTCTCCATGGCCATGGATTTATGTTTGGCCTCTTTACTCAGGTGCTAGACATATTTCTGGCTGCGCAGATGGTGAGTCTAACACAGGCCTCTGGCTTTGACTGTGATGTTTGTTTACATCTTCATGGTACAATAGTAACCCAAAGAGACAAAGTGGGAAATTGGGAAGTGCAAATGCTGAAATGTGTGAAGGGCTTGGAGCCCTCAGGGTGCACAGAGAGCCCCTGAGCACTGCCTGCCTTTCTGGGTTGGGTGAATTTTCACTGGCATGGCCCCTTCCTTCATCTCCTGTCCCACACATCCCAGTGCTCCTGTTGCACAGGGGCAATTTGAGATGGGAAATGCAGGGATGGATGGGGGGACCTGGTGTGTTTTGGGCTGTGACAGCCTCACAGCCTTGGTCCTGCATGTCCCTGAGTTCTGCATATTTATACATTTATAGTGAGGCTTTTCCTCCTCTTTTCTGTAATTCTGTGTATCAGGATGAGTGGAGTGGAAAGGCTGGAAGGGATGAGGGGGAGGTTCCTGTGTGTTAGAGAATCACAGCTAAATGAGTTTGTGCAGATTGAAACACAGCACTTGCACAAGCAGCTCACTTCTGGAAGATCCCAGGTCAGAAAGAGGAATAAAAGTAAGTCTTAAAATGTTAGGGTTAAATATTGGGGCAGCTAAACAGCTTTAATTCATGCCATGAGGCTTCCTTACCCCTCTGGGAGGAGCAGCATGGATGGAGCTCTGCACTGGCAGGGCAGGGTGTGAGGGGATGCTTTTCCTCTGGAGCTTTTGCCCACAATTTTTCACTCATTTTGTTACTTTTATCTTCATTTGCAAGGAGTCTCCAGTGCTGGGTGGTTCCTCCTCTTTGGTTCTGGGATTTGTCAGTGGAAGGGGAGATTTGGCACAGAGCAGCACTTGGGAACAAACTGAAAGTCATGAGTTGGATCCTTCGGTGGGGCACCACTAATGTTGATTTTTTGGGGGGATTTTTCTTTGTTTATTTGGATTTTTTTTTTTTTTTTTTTTTTTTTTGAGGTTGGGATTAAATTGTGAGACTATATTTTTTGCTTGGATTCAGATTAGTTTTCATTTCTATTACAGTCTCACAAACTGTGGGTTCTATAGTAGTTTTCTTTAACAAGGTAAAAATGGAGATGTATTTTTTTTCTATAAGGTTTATGTAAGAAATTATACTTAAATTGTTTTTATTTTTAATCTATTAATAAATACTCATGACTGGCAATGCAGATTTTAAAATTTAATTACACAGTACTGCTTAAACTCATGAAGAAGAAGGTGAAGAAGAAGGTAAAAGAAGAAGGACTAGCTTTTGCTCTAAAACTCTTATTTTATATATATTATTATATTCTAAAACTTTAAACTCCGAAGTTTTCTCCTATGTGATATTACACACTTTTGTTTAAACTTATAACACAGTTTATACACTTATAATTTTAGTTCTGTTATTTAATTTTGGAAATTTTTCTATGGTGTTAGGTTAAATGTAGTGTTCTTTTGAGGGTTAGTGCTTGTTAGTACAGAAAGTTTAAAATTTTTAGTACCCAGGGTTTGAGCATCACCCCTCAGTGACATTTGTCAGGGATGTGGTGCCAAGGGAAGCTGCTCTGCCTGTGTGAGAGGAGCAGGGTGAGGTGGTGACATCTCAGCTGTGTGTGGCAGGAGCAGTGACAAATTCTGCTTGTGACAAGTGCTGCAGTGATGAAAACAGTGAAAGTGTCTGATTTGTGTTTTCAAAATTCTCCAGAATCTCCAAATTCATGTGTTTTGAGTCCACTCCAAGAGTTCAGGATGAGAAGGGAGAAAGGTTATGGGGTTAAAGAGATAATCTTCATCTCCTTTGAAAGGTGAACCTGCCCATGCAGAGCTTCCAACCCTTCTCTGATTCCTTCCATATTTCCTTACACAGAAATCAATTTGTTTGTTTTACCCAAATTGCAGAATCAAACACCACATTTCCAGCCATCACGTATTTTTTTGGTGAACCAGATTCTTATCTGGCAAAAAGACACCCTGGTCCCACTCCCCTGGCTCCCTTGGTTTCCTGCTGAAGGGTTTGCCTTGTAGGAAAATTGCAGTGTTCATTGAGGTTGGTTGTGGTAGGGAGATTCTTTCAGTATTAGCTGAGTCTTTTCCCTTGAATAAAAAGCTGGTTAATTTCAGAACTTATTGGCAATAGTTTGAAAACTGGAATTTGAGATTTGTATAGCAATATTTCTGAGAAGTTTAAAACTGAAGTGCCAAGTGTTCTTTGTAAAGTCATCTCCAACACAAGCTACAGGATTGTTCCTTGTCCCACAGAAATCATCTGGATGGCAGAAAAGGGGAAGTTAGTAGAGAAAACTGCTGAATTTGGATGTGCTTTTGTGACTCTTGTTAGAACAGTCAGCCTCACTGGCATGTGCCAGGGAATTCTAGGAAATGTCTCAGTTGCTGTAGAGACAGCTTCCTCAAAACTTGTTCTTAGTGTTTCATTTTCTTAATGTCTATGTTTATGTATAGCCTCATAGCATAATGATCTCATATCAGAATATTTATATGTATTTATGTAATGGGGTATGTAAAAATACAAGTTATGCAATGGGAGTGTGTATCCAGTTTATGCAAAGTTTCTTCTAATGTACCTAAAAAAAGCTCAGGGTGGTGAGATCAGCACTGCCAGTGAAATCCTCTGTTTTCCTGCACGTTTTCAGTGATTCCTTGTGCTTCAGGTAAAGGCTCTGTGCCCAATAAAGATGATTTTTAAGCATCCATTTTATTGAGGGCAGTGTCCCTTCCTGGCATGGGCAGAGTCGTTGTGGCACTAAAGGCTCTAATACCACGGACAAGAGGTGGTTAAACTTGTACCTGTGGTGGGTGAACATTGTGTTTTGTGTTTCCCAGAGAGGTGGTTTAATTCAAAATAATGTTAGTCCTCAGAGCTGTGTGGCTGCCTGAGCTCCTGGTAAATCAGGCCTTGCTCTGGCTTCTGCCTGGGGGAAGAAGGCTTCCTGCATCTTGGATCAGGATCAAGGTTCCCTTTGTGATCAGAGCCTGGTAAAAACGAATCCAGCCTCAGGTGGCAAATAAAGTACTAAGTTTCCTTTTGTTGTATTTCTTGAAAATAGATGTAACCTTTTCTGGCTCTAGTTGTATTTTTAGATGGTGATGGTAGGCACCGGAGAAACATGCAGAGGAGCAGCAGATAAGACAGGAGAAGCAGCTCTGTGGTGTGTTAGCTGAGGTTAACACCAGGGATTAATCACCTGCTGTTGCACCAAACCCCCCAGCAAGGCAGAAGAACTGGTTTATAAAGAGAGCAGAAAAGGCGCGCGTGATTCTCCCGTGCGTGCTCCCCTCGCTGCGAGCCCCGTGGCGCCCTGTGTGTCCCCAGGTGCCTCTGACAGAAGCCGTGGATCCCGTGGACGTGGAGGAGTACCTGCACAGCCACCCGCTGGCCGCGGAGTCGGGGCCGCTGCGGGACCTGCTGGAGTTCCCCCGCGATGACATCGAGGTGGTGTCCACGCCCCGCGAGTGCCGCACGCTCGTGTCCGCCGTGCCCGAGGAGAGGTGGGGCCCCAGCTTACCCAGGGGCGCTCCAGGGAGTGGGAGAGGGGTTTGGGAGATCCTCATCAGCCCTGTGACCTCTGCTGTCGGTTCTTTTCACAGCGAGATGGACCCTCACGTGAGGGACTGTGTCAGGAGTTACACCGAGGACTGGGCCATCGTCAACAGGAAGTGAGTGAGAAACCCTCTGGTGTTTGTCACCCTGTCGCAGATATTTTTTCATAGAAATCCTTTCTTTGGGATTTGTGCATCTTCTGGGAGGCTGAGGCCCCAGAAAGAGAATGTAAACAATGATTATCAGCTGCTATGCAATGCAATAGGATGCACCTGTGATTGGTTCATGTTCCATGAGTACAATTAAGGGCCAATCACAGGGCAAGCTCTCTGGAACACAGTGACAGAGAACTCTCTTGTTTTTAGATTCTTTTCTATTCTATTCTTAGCTTAGCAGCCTCTGCAACTTCTCTTCTTATTCTTTTTAGTATAGTTATAATGTATTATATATCATATATCAATAAATCCAGCCTTCTGATCATCAAACAAGATTCTCATCCTTCTCTCACCCCAGCGACCTCATCAGGTCGCTGTAATATCACCCCAAGTTCATCTTTTAATTTTGGCCAAGTGCTGTAAGGAGGCTCAAAAATACTGTCCTGGCTGCTGATTCCATGTGCTGTGGCTTTTTGTTGCCTGGTCCAGCTGAACTGATGCTTTGTGTTTGGAAAATCAGATCTTTCCAATTTTCATCAAAATCCCTTTGGGCAGTTTGGAAAATCCTGGCCATTTTCAGTCCACACTTGCTCCTTTACCATGGCAGAACAATTAGAAAGTGTGACAAGTAAAATTACTTTCAGCATTTGTTTCTCCCTTTGTTCCATCTTTTAGAGACAAGTTGCATTAATTTTGCAGTGATTTATGAGGAGTCACCACTATAGACAATGTGCCCTCTGCAGCTTCCATTGGTTCCCAGAGAGACTTGGGGAAAGTACATCATTCAGACAAATAATTGTTAATATTTGTACCATCACAACATTTACCTAATGAGTTAACAGCTCAGAGGATGGGCATGCATTGGTTATTCCATGCAAATGAGCAGGGAGGGTTCTGAGAGGCTCAGTTGCAGCAGGGCCTCTCTGGATGATTGGAGGTCTGATGAGTTCAAGAGCTGCTGTCAGGGAGTGAGTGATCCATGTGATGAGCATCACCTACAGATGCCTTGGCTGCAGCTCCAGCTCTGCCCTTGTGGCAGTTGCTGCAATTCACTGGTTTAATGTTGTCCTGAGAGCTACTGCAGGGATGCTCAGCATGTGCTTGGCACTGCTAATGTGACCTAATAAAAAAGTGTTTTGTAATCTCAGGCCAAAACCAAAACCCACCCAGAAAGGAACCCAAGAGGGAGGGAGATGTTTTATTGACTCCCAGTCTTGGCAGCAGAGTCTTGGGTAGACCTGGGCAGTGTGACCCACCCAGGCACCCACCCCTGGCTTCTCAGTGACCTCCATGGGTACCTGGAATTCCTGGCTGTGATTCCTGCTCTGATGAGCTTTATTTGGTGGGGGTTTGTCCTCTGAGAGTCAAAGCACATTCTGCTTGGATAAAATCATGGCAGTGCACTGGGCAGAAATGGAAGAGTTGCTGTTGGAACAGGGGAAGAACCCAAAAGCTCAGCTGGGAAGGACTGAATTGTTTTTCAAGTAAGGATGCCAACAATTTCCTCTTAATCCATCCCATTGGAGGGTCCCAAGTCCTCTGGCAGCCTCCAGGGGCACAAACCCCAGCTCTTGGAAGAACTGCTGAACTGACTTGTGACATTCCATCCTTTTCTTCCCCACCCCAGGGGAAATAATCTTTATGTCCATCTCTGCCTCCAGTTTCTTTGTAACCAAAATGTTTTTGAGGCAGAGAAATCCACCCGTTCAGTAATTCCTTTAATGATATTGGAAAGTGATATTGAAAAAAACCCACTAGCATATTCTGATTTCAAGCTTATGGCATAATTTATGTGTGCTAGACTGAGGAAGTCAGGTGTGAATTAGAGATAATTTGCACTTGTTGGTGGAGCTGTGATGGAAATGCAGACATCCAGGTGAGGATTGTACAGATCCTGTTGTTCAGCTCTCAGGAAATACAACCTAGCAAGGAAAATGCATTCCTCCTTTTTTTTCTCTTCCCTTCCTTTATTTGCTGCTAGCATTCTATGATTTTCCCATGTCTGGAGCATCCCTCTGTGGTAACTTTAGTGCCAGGGTATGGTAAGAACAATTAATTCTAGCTGTGATCCCAGGAACTGACTTGGAGTGAGTATTGCAGGGAGCCATGCCTCTACCCATGTGTGTGTGTGTAAATACAGACCTGGTGCCTTTTGGCACCCAAAAATTTGTTAGTCAAAGAGATCTGCTCCTGTCAGCCCAGCAGGCAGCCTGTTCACTTGCAGGAGCTCTCACACTCTGGGGAGCTCTGAGGGCCCCACTTTCCTCACAGAGTTGCTGTGTGAAGACACTTGGTTTAGTCAGGGTTAGAAAATTGTTCTCCAGAGGTGCTCAGGATTGTCCTGAGTTGCTGTTTTGGTTTTCCAGTTAATCATTTTATTACTCCAAGCCAGTTCCTGCTCCAGCAGAACCACTGGCCTTCAGCCCTCGTGTTCCCGGCCTGTTTTTAGCTTGGCATCACAATGGCACATTTTACAGCAGCTTTAATTGGCTCTTGATAATCCTCCTTTTGACATCACCCAGAGTGGCTTTATAGATGAACAGAGTCACATTGTAGTGCTGGAATAGTGGCTGTTGGATGATGCCCCAGCTCCAGTGGAGCTGACTGGAAATTGTGTTTGCAGAGAGCAGCTCCTGCCTCGGGAGCACCCACGCTCACAATGCTGGGTTTGTTCTGGGGTCAGGGTCAAAAGGGCTGCTGAGAACGTGGTTGAAATTCTCTGTTTGCAGATACCACAAGCTGGGAACTGGGTTCAACCCCAACACCTTGGACAAACAGAAGGAGAGGCAAAAAGGGCTCCCCAAACAAGTCTTCGAGTCTGACGATGCTCCTGACGGCAACAGCTACCAGGATGAACAAGTAATGTGCCTTTAAAAAATCCCTGCTGCATAAAACCTAATTTATGGTGCTGCTTTAAAAGTGCAGTCCTTTTCCCATTAGAAGTTGTTTTAATTTGTTGGCTCTCAGGACGACCTGAAGCGCCGCTCAATGTCGATCGACGACACGCCCCGGGGCAGCTGGGCCTGCAGCATCTTCGACCTCAAGAACTCCCAGCCTGATGCCCTGCTCCCCAACCTGCTGGACAGAACCCCCAACGAGGAGATCGACCACCACAACGAGGACCAGAGGAAGTCTGGCAGGCATAAGGAGCTTTTTGCACTACACCCAGCACCCGATGAGGTATTTTTGTGTGAAAGCTGCCAGCCTGCCAGATTTTTAAAGGATTTAAGATCACCTGTGTTTAACATGCAGAACTGCAGCTATTTTGTGTTTTTCAGCATGTTGTGTTGCCCATAGATATTACTTTCTGAAGATTGGGTTTCCCTTCTGGTTATGCAATCCCCAGTAATGTAGGAACATTAAAGGGATTTAATTTAGCATATTTATAGCTGCTGATGAATGCACCGTGCTGGGAAGCCTTGGATTAACTTGGTGCTGTGTCTTAAAAGGAAAAAGTGATAGGTGTGTTTGCCTCCTGGTTCTGCTGGTGGTTTGTACAGGGCTTGTGTCTCTAATTCCAGGAGGAGCCCATAGAGAGACTCAGTGTCCCTGAAGTACCCAAAGAACACTTTGGCCAAAGACTCCTGGTGAAGTGTTTGTCCCTGAAGTAAGTACCACTCCAACAGACACAAATTCAGAATTAAAATCTGCTGCTGTATCCACGTGCATCTGACATAACTCCACTGTCTTCTTTATTGCCCTGGAAGGGTCATTGCATTGTTTGGTCCTGGGCTTCCAGGTTCATTTTGTAAAGCTTGAGTAACACAGTTGTACCTTCGAGACTTCCTGCAGGTTGATGGGACAGGAAATCTCCTCCTCCCTTGGCTTTTCTCCCTGCTGCTTTCCAGCTCTGCCTGTTCCCTGGCACTGGCACATGACATGAGGCTTCACCACGCTCCCCCAGGGCTCTCAAGTTGGCCACTCACTGGTATTCCCCTCCCTAACCAGGAAATGTCAGATTAAATTTAAAGATAAAAAATGCTCGAGCCTTAAACACATAAAGACAGCCAAAGATTTGCCAAAGTTTAGGCTCAACAACCTTGACTGTGTCCCTTTAAGAGTGAAGACTTTATATACTTAGTAAGCATTAACTGGAGGAATAGAAACCTGTTAAACAAGTTTAATGAAGTGGAGCTCCTGAATATAGGGTTACCTGCAGCTGGTTCATTGCCTATAACTCTTCTCTAATAACACAAGGTAAAATTTTACTGTTATTCCCTTGGAGAAATAAAGTACAAAACTGATTTTCCACACTGCTGTATTCATCTTCTGTGTCCTCAGTTAGGTCAACCCTTCTTATTAGAGAGCTCCAGTTGCTGCTCATAACTGAGATATATGTGTGGGACATTTCTCCTGCTCGTAGAGTACTCCAGGACCTAATATAGCCATAGAGATGAACTGATTTTGCAGCCTTTTATGAACTGGAACAACATAATATGCAGTAGCAGTGCAGCTTTCCCTCCAAAGCAGGGTGTCTTTAGCATAAATAAGTTAGATGCTGGAAATTAATGTTTTCTGCTCTTTAAGCATCTCTTGCTGACTGCAAATTTATAGCAAATCTGCCCAGCTCCATGTTTACTTGTGTACCTGGGAATCTGTGAGCCTGTGCTTGAGATGTAATCCAGGATTGTGCCATCTCAGTGGCACAAAACAAGGACATTTTCCCCAGGGAGGAAGCTCAGATGACCTAAGCAGGGTTATTTCCAGGTTAATCTCAGCTTTGTGGCAAAACTGGAGAAAACACCTGTTTGGTTGTGTTGTCCCTGCTGACAGGAGGAGTTCCAGGCTGAAGCTGAGAGTTCCTGCAAGGACTGGGTGTGGATGGGACATGGGTTTTGTGAGGAGGACAAAAGTGGCAGACAAAAATGGCATTTCAGCCACTGCTCACTGCGGGGCAGGGACAGGTTTTGAATGTTTTTAAATTCCTGTAACTCCCCAGGTGTTCTGACAACAGGTTCCGCTCTGTTTGGTGGGTCAGTGTTCCTGTTGGGAGTGTTGGAATTTGCATAAACACTGGATAACAGCCTCTGTGAAGAGCTGGCACATTTCTAAGGGGGGTTGGCTCAGTGCCCATCTCCCAGGGAGGATCTGGGGACAGGGTTGGTCATTCCTTCTGACAAAATGCAAGTCAAACTGATTCTGTGTTTCCTTCTTTCAAGATTTGAAATAGAAATTGAGCCCATTTTTGCAAGTTTGGCTTTGTATGATGTCAAAGAAAAGAAGAAGGTAGGTTTTTAATTACTTGAGTGTGACATTTCCACTGAAATTTAAACACAAGAAATGGAGGAATTAATTGTGGTGGCAGAGCTTTAAGAGGACAGTGACGTAGAGGTTGGAAGAATGATGAAGGCATTTCATGAACCATCTTGTGTTCTCCTTGGTAAAGCAGTTGAGGTATAAAAATTTCCTAAAAATACTATCTAATATGTGATTTAATACATTCCTAAAAATGTTATCTAATATGTGAGTGCCTGAAATAAGAATATATATATATTCTTTTATATATATATATATTCATATATATATGAAAGAATATATATATGTGTGTATATATATAAAAGAATATATATGTGTATGTATACATACATACATACATATCTTTACATATATATTTCTATATATATTTATTTTATATATATGTCTATATAAAAAGAAATATATGTATGTATATACATATATATTTTTATGTATGTATATAAATAAATACATGTATATACATACATATAAATACATATATGTATGTATATGTATGTATATATATGTATATTTATTATATAAATAATATATAATATATATAATATATAAATATAAATATATAAATATAATACATATATATGTAAATATATATATTTATATAATATATATAAATATATAAATTAAAAAATATATTTATATAAATATAATACATATATAAATATATAAATATAATACAAAATCAAATGAATATATAAATAATAAACTAATACATATTAATATAAATTTATATTTATATTATATAAAGATATAATAATATATTTTATATAAAATATGTATGTATTTATATGTGTGTATATACATATATATTTTAATATATGTGTATATACATACATATTTTTATATATATACATACACATACATTTTTTATATTTATATACACACATATACATACACATATCTATATGTATGTACACACACACACACACATATATATACATATAAATGTATGTATGTATGTATGTATGCATATATGTATGTATGTAGTCCAATTTTGGCTTTCAAAAGTCTTTTCCCCAGAGAGAACTTAGGTAACTGAAACCTTTTATTTGGATTAGGTTTTTATGACTTTCTTAATCTCTTTTTGGCGATTCAGCATGGCATGGGTCCAAGCAACACTTCAATAATGCACAGAAAGTCACACATGCTAAAATTGCTAAAATCAAAACAAAACCGAGGAGTCTTTTCAAGATCTAAGTTATAGGAAATGGAAAATACATTTGTTCACCTATTTATGTTCTGTATTTAATATTTAAAGACTCTCTTAGTTTTCCTTGTTCAAGATATTAGCAGTAGTGGAGAGAAAAATGTTAAAAATATGCATTTTGACATTTATCTCTTTGGGACTTGAATTTAATGCATTGAGATTTAAGTTATGTAGATGAGAGTATGTGGAATATTATGTGAACTTTGTTTAATATTTAAATCACATTTCATAAGCCAATTTTATCATCTCATTACTCCTTTTTTTGGCTCTAATGTAGTAAGTTCTTTAGTGACCTCTGGTGTTGGTAACCTGCTCACATCTTTTTTGGCTCTGAAGCTTTGCAGGCAAGGATTTGCTGTTTCAGGGTAGAAGGCTCAGTGTTTGTATTCCAAGGGGTGTCATTTTGTCTTTTTTGTTTATATTTTGATATTTTGATGTTTTCAGTTTAGCTAACAGTGGTAATTTCTAATCCTGTGATGGAGCTGCACACCTTAGAGGAGCTGGAGGAAATTTTATAATTTTATTTGTGGTGTTTCCTCCATTTCCTTTCTCACTGTCCTGCCTTGGTTTTTAATGAAAAAGGCTTTTCTTTTCTATCCATACATGGTTTAACACAAGGAGTTTTTAACATGTATTTAGAAACAATTTTAAATTATTCATGAAGAATTTACAAAAAAATAAAGGTATAACTAATGCTTGAAACTACCCTTTCTTAAAATTTTTCATACATGGTTTGACATGAGGAGTTTTTAACATGTATTTAGAAACAATTTAAAATTGTTCATGAAGAATTTACAAAAAAATAAAGGTATAACTAATGCTTGAAACTACCCTTTTTTTTTTTTTTATTTTTCATACATGGTTTGACATGAGGAGTTTTTAACATGTATTTAGAAACAATTTAAAATTGTTCATGAAGAATTTACAAAAAAATAAAGGTATAACTAATGCTTGAAACTACCCTTTTTTTTTTTTTATTTTTCATACATGGTTTGACATGAGGAGTTTTTAACATGTATTTTAAAAAACTTTAAAATTGTTTATGAAGAATATACAAAAAAAAAAGATAAAACTAATGCTTGAAATTACACAAATTTTTTTCTTATTTTTCCTACATGGTTTGACATGAGGAGTTTTTAACATGTATTTTAAACAATTTAAAATTGTTCAGGAAGAATTTAAAGAAAAATAAAGATATAACTAATGCTTGCAACTACCCAATTTCTCCCTCAGATTTCAGAGAATTTCTACTTTGATTTAAACTCTGAGCAAATGAAGGGAATGCTTCGGCCTCATGTGCCCCCTGCTGCTATTTCCACCCTGGCCAGATCTGCCATCTTTTCTATCACCTACCCATCCCAAGATGTCTTTCTAGTAATAAAGGTAAGAAATGTCAGGGAAATTGAAATTATGAAATTATTGTGGTCTCTTGTTTTTTATTTAAAGTAAAATAGAAATTCTGTTCTCAAAAGTGTAAACAGTGCTGCTTTATTTCCAATATTCTCACTTCAGTTCCTTTGTAAGAACCAATTCAGTGCACTGAAGCTGGAGAGAGCACAAAGGTTTGCTTGGTGATATAAATCAGTTTTCTGGGGCTTGACCTTGGTTTTCATATCAAACAATGTGCTGACTCCTTAAAATGACAGATAAGTCAGTGATTTAAAAATATCTATTGATCTGAATCTCATTTCAAAAAGGATACACGCCCCTCAGCCAGATTTTCAGATGTGTTTAAGGGCAGAAATTGCCGAGAGAGTGAGATCCATAACTGAAATAAAATGCAACATTGGTCCCTCCTGGGATAAAGTACACAAAGATAAAAGTTATTTTCTGTTCTCTCCTTTGGTTCAACGAGTGCACAAATGCTGCTCCTTCAGGTGGGTGTTTGAGTCAAGATTTTTGGCTGGACCCTGGGTAAAAATCACCCTGTGGTCAGAAGGGGAGTTGAAAGCAGATTTTCAGATCACGGGCATTGTGAAGGTTCTGCAGGAAATGCTTCTTACACAAGGAATCATCAGGCTGCAGCTCTTGTGGAAGAATTTTATTCCTTCCTTGTGCTTGTTGAGTTTATTAATCCTTGCTGGATCCACGTCCTTATAATGGTTCATTTTCCCTTCTCAGCTGGAAAAAGTGTTACAGCAGGGAGATATTGGGGAGTGTGCAGAGCCTTACATGATTTTTAAAGAATCTGATGCAGCAAAGGTAAGAATTTTTTTGGTGTTTGGCTAAAAAAATTAAATGTATTTTGTTTTACCTTGGATGGTTTATACTGTTCCTGTCTTTAAAAGGATCCATTTTAAATTAGGAGTTTAATCCCACTCTAAAGGCCAAAAAAGAACCAAAGACCTTTGAGTCTTGATGCCTTATTGGGGTGGGGTAGTTAAAGGTCAGCAGATTTTGAGGCTGTCAGGGGAGATTTGTGGCTCCCATCAAACTCAGTCATCTGTGATTCCCTGTCCCAAAGGATCAGCTGGGTCAGGGAAAGGCAGCCTTGGATGGGAATCTGCAGTGAAAAATTCAACTTTTCCACTGCTTTTGCAGTTTAACCCCATCCCTTCTGCCTGGTTCTAAAAGCACCTCCAGAGTGGTTCCTAATTTGGTGTGCAGGTGGGCTGGGCCAGGTGGGGATCAAAGGGTGATGGTGAGGGCTGGGTGAAGGGCAGAGCAGAGGCTCCAGCCCTGCCTCTCCATTTCCCAAAAGCTTGGATCATTTGTTAATTTTAATCAACCTCTTAATAAATTATTTCCTCCCTAAAGCTCTAAAAATTGCTCTTTAATATGCAAAGCTATGGAAAAATCCTCTTTTATTCCCTTTTTTCCTTGACAAAATGAGAATGAGTATGATAGTACTTATTTGAGGAGTGTTTTGAGTTTCCCACACAACTCCAGATGATCTGAGCACCTCCTGCATAAAATCACATCAGGAAAGGTCCTTTCAGTCTTCAAGGGGAAAATTCAGATTTTCTTAAAGGATCACTGTGGTTTGCCAGGCTGTTCAGGAGGGTTAGGAGCATAAAAGACTGTTCTGACTGTCCTCTGGTGGCCTCTTTTGGGAAGCAGAAGTTGCATTATCCCAACACTTGGTGCTTCTCCTCTGGAAGGTGCTACAGAAACACAAATCATTGGGAGTTAGAAAGGACACCATCATCCCTCACTGATTTACTGAATGAACCTCTGACCTTGTTCCTCTCCTTTTAACCTCTTGGAGTGAATATTTTCTTCACAGAACAAGGAGAAGTTGGAAAAGCTGAAGGGCCAGGCAGAGCAGTTTTGCCAAAGACTGGGGAAGTACCGGATGCCTTTTGCCTGGACAGCCATTCACCTCATGAACATTGTCAGCAGTGCTGGCAGCTTGGAAAGAGATTCCACAGAAGTTGAAGTTGGCACAGGAGGTACTGGACTAGGAGGGAATGTGCAGGAGGGAACCAATGTGGGCAAATCCAGAGGTTTTGATTCATGTCCTGTAGCTGCTGTTGCTCCTTTTATTGCTTTCCTCCCCCTACTCTGATGGTCTGGGGTCATGGTTGAACTAAACCAGAAAAGTCCATGATGACAAATGGATTTATCTTTCAAGGATTTTACTAGCAAACCATCTGTTATATTATTTAAAACCAGGCTTGTGAGACTGAGGGAGCATTACAGGCTGATGAACATTTTCCAAAGGAGTGGATTAATCTTTGCGAGCCACATAGCTCATCCGAAACTGCTCTTCAGCATCCCCAAAACTGCCAACTTCATCATCTTTCAGAGCAAGGGAAATACATAAATCTCAGCATGATAAAGACTTCTATAACAGCAGGAAGGCACTGGGGTGAGGTGGCTGGGAGGGGAGCAGGATCAGCTGTGCTCCACAGCCTCCGGAGCGGGATTGCCTGAGCAGAACCCCCTCTTGTGTCACCTCATGGCATCATTCCCTCTCTGCTCTGTAGGAAGGAGTTCTCCTTCCCCAGGAATTCTGCTGGGAAGCAAAGTAGGCTCTTGGACTGTAGTTTTCCTGCTTTATTTTTGATTCCTTCTCACTGTTGTGTTTGGCAGAGCGCAAAGGGTCGTGGTCGGAGCGGCGCAACTCCAGCATTGTCGGGAGGCGCTCCCTGGAGAGGACCACGAGTGGGGACGAGGCTTGCAACCTGAGCAGCTTCAGGCCAGCCACCCTGACAGTGACCAACTTCTTCAAACAGGTCTGGCAGGGCAGTGTCCCACCTAGGAGTTATTTCTGCGACAGGAGGATTGGATGGTGTGAGGTCACTGGGTGATTAATTCGTGATTAATTCGATTTCTGCTCCCCAGTCACAGGGGGACTTTAAGCAGCATTGAGTTTGTTATGTTATTTATCAATCGTCATGGAATAACAGGCTGGTTTGGGTTGGGAGGGAGATTAAAACCCATCCAGTGCCACCCTGCCATGGCAGGGACACCTTCACTGTCCCAGGGTGCTCCAGCCTGGCCTTGGGCACTGCCAGGGATCCAGGGCAGCCACAGCTGCTCTGGGCACCCTGTGCCAGGGCCTGCCCACCCTCCCATGGAACAACTTCTCCCTAATATCTAATCTAAATCTCCTCTAAATTGTATATTGCATAATTCTATATAATGTATATTAATTCTGGTAGTAGTGACTCCAATTCCTAAGTTATACATTACATAATATTATATAATATATTAATTCTGGTAGTAGTGACTCCAGTTCCTCAGAGTGATTTAAGGTTGACATCAGTTCCCTGAACACATCCAGGGATCCCTGAGGAGAACAAAGCATTCTGCTTCTGATGCTGCTTTGCTGAGTGGCAGCTCCCCTTAGCCAGAGCTTGGGATTTTTCTGATCAGTGGAAAACATGAATAAAGGGAACAAATTTTTAGTTAAGCTTAGCAAAAAGTAATGAGCTGAAAATTTTCTAATATTTGCTCAATGTCACACCTAGTTAAGGAAAAGCTGGTCGCTAAGTTAGTAATGATTTACAAAGGATGTATTTATTTACTTTGTTGAGGTTATTTTTACTTTGAAGCAGCTCATTTTATTTAATTTGTCCTTTAAAAACTGCCAAACATTAAATTAAGATTTAAAATTTCAGATTCTTTATTATCTTCCTTTTCTCCTGTTCAGTATAATTAATTGAACACTACCCAGTGTTTTTCTCCTTCCATTAGCTTCTTTGTTTTCCTTTATGTTGTGGTTTCTTAGCTTTAAAATCAGGTATCTTCTGCTTTTGGGTGGCAGAGTCCCATTTTCTGTAATATTTCCAAAATTAGCAAAACTCTGAGCTATTAGAGGGGGCATGAGGAAGACTGACAACAGACTCCTTGCACTTCCTACTTTTCCTGAAAAACAAGGCTGTTGTGGGCTCATCCCAAAGGAAGGCAGAGGAGAAGGATTGAGCATCACCTCCTTCCTGAGTGACAGATACTTTTTCAAACCATTACACTTGCTAAAAAATGGGTATTTTTGGGAAATCTCTTAGCAGCCATTTCCAGTTTGGAAAAAGATAATATTGATGGGGAGAGAAAAGGCTTTCAATTAAAAGTTCCTGCAGCTGTCAGGGTGATGAATAAGGGATGAAGGAAGGGGAAAGGAGGGAGAAATGAAGTCTGATTTAACACGTTAATGGTAACACCTCGTTCTGGGAGGGCACAGGTGGGTGCCAGAGGGAAGAGCCTGTGGGGTGGGAGGCTTTGCTCACTCTGGCAGCCCTGGAGGGTGTGTGGGTGACCAAATCTTACCCCTGAGCAGGAGGGGGATCGCCTGAGCGACGAGGACCTGTACAAGTTCCTGGCTGACATGAGACGCCCCTCGTCGGTGCTGCGCAGGCTCAGGCCCATCACAGGTACCCAGCTGCCACTGCCTCTGCTTCTAGTGAGGGAATGGGGCCACCGTGGGGCTAAGAACCATTTACTGCCCAGATAAACATCAGCCTCACAGCTGTGAGACTTTAAAGGAGCAAGCTGTTTGCCATAGCTCAAAGTAGTCACAAGTTCTTTGTTACAAGGCAATAAATAACTTTCTAACCCAATGGACAGTTGCCACAGGGTGTATTTTGCTTTTCTAACCTATCACCTTTACTTACTTCTACTGCACTGAAGTACTTCTACTTTTACCCAATGGGCTGCTATCTGTACACACAAATACTTCTGTTATATCTTCTAAACTCTGCTTACTCTGTACAAGCACACCCCTGCATTATAAACCCTTCACCATCTTATCATTACAATTTCTTACTTAAGGCATATTCTTTCTTACAACTGTAGAAACGTAAGTCCATGAATTTTCCATTTAATGTCTTGTGTGTTGTAGCTTCGCATCAATCCAAGCTTCTCCCAAGGCTGCAAGGACACAGTCTCAAGCTGTGTCAAGGGAAATACAGGTTGGATAGCAGGAAAAAGCTTTTTCCAGAAAGGTGATAAAGTTCTGGAATGGCTGCCCAGGGTGGTGGTGCAGTGCCCATCCCTGGGTGTGTTTAACAAAGCCTGGATGTGGCACTGGGGGCCGGGATTTCGGGCTGGGGCTGGGTTGGACTCGATGGTCTTGGAGGTCTCTTCCAGCCCAGTGATTCTGTGATTCTGTGTAAATCAAACCCTTCAGTGTCTGAGGAAGTTTCTGGTTTCCAGTTCCCACAGAGCCAGCCCTTCTGGGCTCAGAAGTTGAGGTGTTTGGTTAGTTCCTCCCCAGGCATCCCAAGGGAATCCTTGAGCACAATCCGTGGGCAGCAGGAGCACGGAAGGTGGGATGGGGCAGGTTTGTCACTGGCACACTCAGGGTGGTGTCTGTGAGGGGGGATGCAAACCCCAAACCCCCAAACACAGGAACCTCTGTTTCTCACTCTATCCCAAAGGAGATCTCTCTCCTGGGTAACAGGAACAGGCTCCACCTCTGTTTGAGAAGGGGGAATGGGCACCCTGGCACACCTCAGTGGAGCTGGTCCCTGACCTGTGCTATCCTGACAATATTTACTTTACTTAACCTGCTCTTAAAGCTCTCCAGGGACAGCAGTCCTGCCTCTTCCTTGGATCATCTCCCCAGCTCTCAGTTTGCCTTGCAGCCAGGTTAGGTTTTAACAAAACTCTGCAAAATTAACATGCTGCAAATTAATGTGACTGGGGCACGTGACCACAACCTTCCAAGCACTTGAGTGTTGTGATCAGTTCACCCAGTTCACCTCTGGTTTGTAGCCTGACCAATCTCAGGGTTTTTCAGCCTTTCCTCTGATGGAGTTTTGTGTGTAACAATAGCTGGGCCTCACAGGAGATTTATCTGGACTGCATTTCGCCAGTTTTCTTATGAAAAAAAATCTATGCCTGTTAAAGTGCATATTTTCTGTTGGTTCTTATTATCCGGTCCCCAGTGGCCTTAGATACCAGCTGGATCCACTGACACTTGCTAACAAATCCACTTCAGCTGTAATTTATCATTTGTTGATTCATTAAATTCATATATAGGATGTCAATGAATGAATATATAGGATATTAACCTGAAGAAACAAAGCGCAATTATGCTTTTAAAAATTAATTTCTATTTATGAATGAATAAAACCCCTTTCTTCTTGCAGCTCAGTTGAAGATAGACATCTCTCCAGCTCCAGAGAACCCCCACTACTGCCTAACCCCAGAGCTGCTGCAGGTCAAGCTTTACCCAGACAGCAGAGTCAGACCTACACGAGAAATCCTGGAGTTCCCTGCCAGGGATGTCTACGTCCCCAACACCACATACAGGTCAGAGTTTTGAAATCCATTTCACTTTCCAGGGCCGGACACTGGCAAGTGTAGAAATTCCTGCCTTATCAGCAGGCTTGTTGCAAAATCTGGTGGATGGGCAGAGGAGCTGTGCCAGAGGCATGGGAAGGGTTCAGGCTGACACAGGGAAAAGGCTCAGCTGGGAGGGACAAACAGGTTTGCATCAAACTTGGCTGTGAATAAGAACACAGGACAGGTTTCTCTATTTGGTTAAATTCTTTCCAGTTGTATGTAGTCTTTTTTTTTCTTTGTTAAAGTCACCATTCTCCTACTGGCTTTATTAATTTATGTCACTTTCAGTGACTTGTTTTTTCCTTAAAGTGAGGGATAGAAATAGAGAAAATATATAATCCTTTTGTTCATATTTCCATTTTGGTTGCCAAGCAATTTCTTTGTTTACAATACTTGACAAAAAATCCCCTGAAGCCCTGAAAAATAGGAAATTTCTCTAAATATTTTGGGAAACAATAATCTTTCTATAACAAAATCCAGGCTGGAACCAGATTTCTTTTCATTATGTGCCATTATTAATTTGAAGCTTTTTCACAGTATCTTTGAGGACATTACATGGCTGGGTGGAATTGTCTTCATCAGCTGAGTGATTTCACCAACTTAGCAAATCCTTTATTTAAATTTAGATACAAACCAGGTTTTTACAAATCAAAGCTTATAAGAAGGGTTTGGTTGAGTTCCATATCCTGTATTTTGAAAAGTCTCAGCTATTTATTTATTGGATAGGTAATTTAACATTACAGGAAACAAGTACAAATAAGCAACACTGCACGATCTCATCTCTGTTACAAACCCACGAGAAGGAAAAGGATTTTTATTGTAGAATTTCTGTAATTAACACATTCTGTTCATGGGGTTTCACTCTGATAAATGACAACCAAAACCATTTCCTGTGCTGAGATAAAAAGCCCACACTGTACAAGGGTTGGGGAAGATAAACAAGTCAATATGACTCAGGGGAGCTGCAGGACTGGGGCTTTGTCAGTCAGCACTTGCAGGGCCAGCCCAAGGCTGGCACTCTGTGTTCTGCAGCTGAAGTTCAAGCTGTGAGTGTCCCCAGGAGCTGGAGCAGCCCTGTGCCATGGGTTGTGCCTACTGGGTTTGTGGGCTGCCACCCTTGACCCCATTGGAGCAGCTGTTCCCTAAGTGAAAGGTGTTTTGGTGTGTGCTCACTTGCTTGTTTATTTAATTCCGTAGCTGGTTGGACTGAAAGGTCACAGGGCTTGGCTGTGATTCATTTCAGGTGAGGAGAGCAGATCTCTTCCTCCTTTCAGTGAGTTTGGCTCCTCACTTGCAGTGGGCAGCCCCAGCTGTGCAGTTCCCTGTGGGATCCAGGGGAGCAGGGCTGCTCTGACCCCCTGTGTGCACACACCTGCACAGAGCTCCAAAGAGCATGGACTGGCCTCAGCTACACTCCTGGAAATACCCAGAGCCCTAAAACAAGGAATTACCCATCTTTCATTTGCTCCTGAAACATTCCACAACAAAAACATGAACCAAACATTCAATTAGTTACTTCAAGAAACAAAATTTCTTTTTTTTTTCTTTCCCTAAATGTTTTCAGTAGGGTTTTGCCAGCCCTTTGTTCCCAGAAAACACTTTTTTGTTTTCCCTACTACACAACCCAGAAAGGAATGCACAGTCTGAAAATCCATTCCCCCAAACAATATTAACCAATATGTGACAGGTTGGCTCCTGGGCATTAGAATTTCACTGTGGGGAAGGAAAAGCTCCACAAAAAGTTGCAGCATGTTGACATTGGGGCTTGAGGGAATGACAATACTCACCAGACATTTTGTAAGACCATCTCAGATGCCTCAGGTTTATGTTTTAGAGGAATTCCATGCAGGGCATGGATTGGCACTTGGCATCTGTTGGTAAACACAGCATCAAGTCCTTTGGTGTGGTGAAGTTCATTGTGTTTGTTCTGAGTTCCAATGCAGCAGGTTGAGCACTCAGTCAAAGCTTTTTAAGTCTGTTGGGTGGATCATTATTTTGGTTGACTTGAGCAGGTAGTATCTTCCTTTCTTAGGCTTCCAGTAGAGACCTTTTCCTCTGTCCAGCCTCCCCCTGGACCGTGGTGTGACGTAGTTCCCGTTCAGGTTGGTTTCCTCACACTCACTGTGCCACCAGCCTCCTGAGGAGAAACGTGGGCATGTCAGTCTGGGCAGAGTAAACAGCTCCTCTTTGCAGCATAAATCTGCTTCAGACCCTAAATTCCAGCCCAATTGGCATCTACCCAGGATTCCCAAATCACTGAGTTGTTTGGGTTGGGAAAGTCCTCCAAAGTCACTGAGTGCAGCCATTCCCCAGCACTGCCAAGGCCACCACTGATCTATGTCACCAAATGCCACACCTGCCTGGATTTTAAATCCTTCCAGGGATGGGGACTCTGCCACCAAAGGCTGGACAACCCTTTCCATGAAGAAATTTTCCCAAATATCCAATCTAAAGATCCTCTGGTGTAACTTGGGGCCGTTCCCTCTGTTCCTGTCCCTGTTCCCTGGAGCACAACCTGGATCCCCCCTGGCTGTGCCCTCCTGTCAGGAGCTGTGCAGAGCCACAAGGGCCCCTGAGCCTCCTTTGCTCCAGGCTGAGCCCCTGCCCAGCTCCTCAGGGATTCTGCAGCCCCTGCCCAGCTCCTCAGGGATTCTGCAGCACCTGCCCAGCTCCCTCAGGGATTCTGCAGCACCTGCCCAGCTCCCTCAGGGATTCTGCAGCCCCTGCCCAGCTCCTCAGGGATTCTCCAACCCCTCCCCAGCTCCCTCAGCTGCTCCAGATCCTTCCCAGCCCCATTCCCTTCCCTGGCCATGCTCCAGCCCCTCAGTGTCCTTGTCCTGAGGGGCCCTTCCCTGGACACAAGATGCTCCTCTTGGCATTCTTTGAGGCATCCACAATTTTTAAGAATGCCTAGGATGATGTACAAAGTGTTTCTTGCATGAAGCAGGTGGCTGGAGGACAATTTTGTCTCCTGTGGTTCAATCATTTAATTGCTTCTTCAGTTGTTTGCTTTCTGCTATAAACTGGCAAACATAAAAGCTTTGTAAATCAGAGATTTACAAAGGGTTTAAGGGTTCTTAATTAAGAACCCTTTAACCAAATTATCTCCAAAGAGAAACCGCCTCAGCCTTGCCTCTCTCGCTCTTTTGGGAGTGATTATATTATATGGATATGACAAGCAGCTAAAATCTGCCTTTGAATGGAAACTCACTCATTATTAGCTTTAGGATTGTAGCCTAAATGGAGTTAGAAGTCAGTTTGTCTTTAAGTTTTTTGCAAAAAGGATCAAACAACCCAAACTGGGGCTGCCACACCAGACCAGGCATCAGAGGAGGGCCAGCCCTTTGCTTTAGAGTTTGGAGTCTCATCCGGGGGTTATTTCATCCTGGGCTGTCTGTTCTGTTTCTGGTGTTGGTCGTTTGCACAGGAGGGCAGGATTAGATGGGATATTGGGAAGAAATTAGATTGGGAAGAAGTTCTTCCCTGTGAGGGTGGTGAGGGGCTGGCAGAGGTTATCTGGATAGAATGTGGATTCCCCATCGCTGGAAGTGTCCAAGGCCAGGCTGGATGGGGCTTGGAACGCCCTGGGATAGTGGAAGGCATCAGGGTTTCACAGAATCACAGAATGACTGGGTTGGAAGAGACCTCCAAGATCATGGAGTCCAACCCAGCCCCAGCACCCCAACCAAACCCTGGCCCCCAGTGCCACATCCAGGCTCTGTTAAACACCCCCAGGGATGGGCACTGCACCACCTTCCTGGGCAGCCATTCCAGAGCTTTATCAGCTTTCTGGAAAAGCTTTTCCCTGCTGTCCAGCCTGTATTTCCCTTGGTGCAGCTCGAGGCTGTGTGCTCTGGTTGTGTCAGTGCTGCTGCAGACAGAGCCCAGCCCCAGCTGAGCTCAGGCACCTTTCAGGAGCTGTGAGAGTGATGGGGACACCCCTGAGTCTCCTTTTCTCAGGCTGAGCCCCCCAGGATGAGCTTTAGGCCCCCTTCCCAGCAGAGCAGAGAGCTGCCATGCCCTGGGCTGTACCTGGGTGCCTCTGGGGGCAGCTGGGGCCCCCGGCCGTGTCCCCGATGGAGAAGCGGAGCCGGGCGTGCTCGGGCAGCGCGTTGGGAATGCTGCCCGACGTCCTGGCCAGCTGCAGGGTGAAGTTGGTGCTGGGGCCCCCCAGGCTGAAGCTGTACTCGATGTGCCTCCTGTTCCCCCTCCAGTCCTGCAGCTCGATGCGCAGCAGGTAATTCCCCTGCTGGGTGATGGAGTAGATCTTCTTCAGGCCCAGCCAGAATTCCTCTGCAAAGTTGGAGGGAAGAGATGGTTTTAGGTAGTGTGTGTGAAGATACAGTATTTAAAAGGCTTTATTAATTGCTTTAATTAACTCAGTGATTTGAGTCTTGGGGACCGTTGATCTTTGCAGAGGTCTGCTGCTACATTCTTTTTGTTTACCTCTGCTTAATTGCACACTGATGATCAATAAAAGCAGGAGTTCTAAATGAACTGGAGCTTCCCCCTTTTAAGTTTCCCACCTCGTGTGGAACTCTGAGAGGGAGCTGGAGACATTTAAGAGGTGTGTAATTGGAATGTGTGACAAATGAAACCGGTGACATACATAAAACCTAATGGCAATTGTTGCATTTTGGGAGGAAAGAGCTGCAGAACCAAACTGACTTCCTGTACAAAGGGAATTTTTCTTTTGCTGGAATTTCTGATCATTAGTTTAATTGGTTCCATATATTATATTCATTAAGTAGCTTCTAATCAGCACAGGTAATTGCCACATGTACAAAGTGGGGCTGAATGTGAGTGCCATCCACACAGCTGGCATTTAAAGCCATAGAGCACAAGATGCTTGAAGAAAATACTCCCTAATTTCCAGGTTAGGAGCTGTAACCTGGTTTATTTTATCTCCTCAGAAGAGCACTGAATAGGACATAGCTGAGAGCAGTGAAATTCTCTGTAAAATCCAA